TAATTACCTACATAGATATGAATGGAAGTAATGGAAAAAAGTCCATCCGCCGGAATCCCGTACAAAAAAAGATTATGAACAATGCAAAAAGGTGAAATAAACAAAAGAAGATCTATATCATTTAAAGTGGCGAGATGCCGCGGAGTAGTTCAGTGTGACCAGCATCACACAAAAAAAAACAATTTATAGTACTACTAAAGTTACCAACACTTACAAACACACGGGTTCCGACTTTAAACTTTCTTTTGTCCGCCACTGCACATCCCAGGTAGTAGCACGTATTCGTTTCAGAAACGTTTCATAACCGACTCTTGCAAACGTTTCTGAGTGGCTAAAATGTCCACTCGGAAAACGTTTAAAAAAACATTTCTTTATGGTTAAAAAAAAACGCAGAGAAATATATTTTCGCGCAATCGAAATATTATTTTTTCTCTATCTGTAAAAAAGTTTGCGCATTCGTTCTTTTCAAGCAAACTTTTTTACAGATAAAGAAAAAAATGATATTTCGATTATATTTTTCTACGTTTTTTTTCTTTTTAACCAAAAAGAAACGTTTCTTTAAACGTTTTTCAAGTGGACATTTTAATCACTTTAGAATTAGAATTAGAAACGTTTTCAAGGTGCTACCTGGGATAGAGATGCAATGACGGAAAGAATTTTATTCTCATAAAGATTTTATTTTTATGATGTATCCTAGAATTCATATCGGAATCTTTGAGGGGAACCACTCCCAGCGCGTTTGATCGAGTGGTCCTGGTACATAATGTTGGTGCGATGGGCGATATCTCCAAATCGGCAAACGATATGTTGGACGTGAACGTCTGGAGGGAATTCTACGATCTGAACTTTTTCGTGCCTACCGTATTAAACGCTGTGGTCATGAATACGTTTGCTAGTAAAACTATTAAGAAGACGATTGTCAACATTACATCCTTATTCGCAATTCAACCGTGCGCTGGTTGTAGCCAATACGCTTCAGTGAAAGCAGCACGAGAAATGTACTTTAAGGTAATATATACATACATACATACACACAAACACACACACACACATATATATATATATATATGCACCCAGCAAAGGAAAATTAATCCAAATGAATTGAAAATTGCAATTCATTTTAATTTATCCGAATTGATGCTTTTAAAGTCCGGAGATGCACATTCGTGTCTCTGTTATTATTATTTTTTTATTCAAATAAATTAAAATACGAAATGAGCTATTTATCACGTTGAATTCGGATGTATTTATATCTGTATTGTATTACTTTGGGATTTAAATTAATTGAAATGCGAAATGAGCTGTTCATCATATTGTATACTGATGTATTCATGTTCATGTTTATTATTGAATTCAAATGGATTCGAAAACTCAGAAGCGCCAATTCGGAAATGTCGAATGAATTCATTTCTATCCATTTCAATTCATTTTCGTTCGCTGAATATTTTTTAATATACTTTATCTATGTAGTCACGAGATAGATAATATATTTTTATGCTGTTTTTTCTTTGTAGGTCTTTGCTCTGGAAAACCCTGATGTTAACGTGCTAAGTTACTCACCGGGACCTGTGGACACGGATATGTTTGTAATGGCATGCGACAAAATTGCTGATCCCAAATCTAAAGAAATGTTCAATGAGATGAAAGAATCGAAAACCGTGTTGACTACAGAACAGACTGTCAATCGTCTTGTGCAAGTCTTGAAAGCACATAAATATAATTCGGCCGATCATGTCGATTATTACGATGAGTTGATCGAAGCAGAAAAACCGACATTTATAGAGAGAAAAAATTAATAAAACACAAAAGTCAAATAAATTTATTCTTTTACATTGAAAATAATTTTGTTTTATATTAAAAAAAAATGTAACATAACTTACGAAATAATATAAAAATACAATTTCTCTCTCTATAAATAATTTATATATTAATGTATAATTTTTTTAAACTTCATTTGTTGGAACAGGATAATTGATGTTTTAATAATATTTGAAGAACGACTAATATCTGTAGTGAAATTGTGCAATTTTTTTCTAAGATATTTTTTCCTAGATTATAAAATGATTACATTTTTACCGATTTTAATTTCGCATGAATTCCATTTTGTATCTTTTCTTATAAAATATGCAAATATAGAAAAAATGTATGTATATAAAAAAAATGTAAACATCTCCTCTTGTCGTTAAAATAAATTAAACATTAAATGAAAAAACTAGCCATTAAAAGCCATTAATTGGAAGTTGTTCGTAATAATGATTGGAACATTTTAAGGACTGTATATAACTTTTATTCACACAGACAAATATATGTAGTGCAAAAATTTCATATACAGTTAAAATCTTGTCTTTTGATTTAGATAAGTAATTATAAAAGAAAAGCGGAAACTTGGGATTGTGGCAGATAAAAAATATTCTTAAACGTATAGTCGCTAATTTTTCCTAAGATACTTACATTAATCTTGCAGAAAATATATTTTAAAATGTACTTTTATTTCAATAGAGAAGGTGTTTTTCTGTGGCTACATCATTGGAGGCATTATTTTTTATTCTTCTTTGTACACCTATTATACGCTATTTTTGTACTCTCTACAAAATGGTTCTTAATGTACTTATCAGTAATCATAAAATTTATAATGTAAAGAATGCATGGCTTAGTTCATATTGTTAAAATATACATATAAGGTTATTCTCTTCTCACGTTTAGTTAATCACTTAACATTTATCTTGTGATTATATTTTACATTCGTTTTTTCTTATTGAAATATCAACAGTTATCTCCTACACAACATAAAATATTAAAAATTTCCAAAATTTCCAAAATGTTTCATGCAACATTTGAAATATTTCTGCAATATAAATATGTCTAGGAAATCAGAGTTTTCGAAATGTTTTAACAGAAATATTTTTTACGATATTTGTATAATATTTCTAGAATATTTTTGTAAAACATTTTAATGAAATAATTTAAAATGTTTTACAAGTGTTTACGAAATATTTCGAAATATTTAAGAAAAAATTTTATAAAATGATTCACAAAAAATATTTTATACAGTGTGGGTTGTGGTTAAAAATATCCTTGATTAGATATTGAGTCATTATCTTCGTTTATTAATGCCTCTTATAACTTGTCTTTGATTGTGATATCAATATCACAATAGCTATGACGCAGAGTATTGCTAATGAGGATCACACCGGTAACACATAATAGGTGACAAGAAGAATACAGAGTAGCTGCTGCAAATAATAGTGCCTCCGAATAGACGTAGCCACAAAAAAACCTTCCCTGTTTAATAAGAGTACGTTTTAAAATATATTCTTTGTAAGATTAATTAATATACGTTTCCTAGGAAAAACTATAATTAGCAATTACATACGTACATTTAAAATGTATTTTATTTAATACGATCCTAAGTTTTCGCTTTTTTTGATAATTATTATATTTAAAATCAAAATTAAGACAAATTTCCTGTGTCATGTGTAGGTCATACCTGTGTCCTGCTTTGGATATAAGCACGTATATCATCGGTCGAGATACGTTATTATCAAACATTTCTATAATCATTGATAAATCATTGGGAATGTTATTTCATAAAAATAATGTGTTACTTTTTTAAAAACTCTTGTTACTAATTTTAAAAATAATGCGCGCGCGTTACTTATTATAAAGTAACGATTTGTAATGTTTTTGTAATGTTAAAATATTAAATTTTAAAGTTACATTATTTTATAATGAATATTTAATATAATAAATAATATAAAAACTTAAAACTATGGTCTCTATATAGTATATTGGCGGAAAGTTTGGGTCGTTTTTTTCCCTTAAAATAAAACAAAGAATTTATTCAATCTATTATAATAACTCTATTAATCTGTTGCATTGATCATTTTGATCGATTATCTTTTGTTGTATCTTTCTGATAACTTCATAAAGCTTGTGTAGAGGGTCCAGAATTTATGAGCGAAAAACTCGTCTAATCCATTGTTGACAGCCTCCAAAGAATTAAATTATTTCCCATCAAGATGGTTCTGCAGAGTAAATATGGTAATTCGGAGGAGCAAGTACGGAACAAGTGTTGAGCGAGTACGGCGGATGAGGCATCATTTCCTAGCTGAACATGCGCAATCTTTACCGTGTCGCTAAAGATATGGTCTTGCGTTGTCGTGGTAGAAGACAACTCTTTTTGTTTACCAATTCCGGCCGCTTGATTAATTTATTAATTTCCTTGATTAGCTTTTTGCGGGAGCAGTTCGTAATACACCACGTTTTGCCAGTCCCATCAAATACGGAGCTTCTGTGAGTGCAATTCGCTTTTGGCAACCGTTTACTACGATTCATCAGGCTTGGATCAAGATTTCTTGCGTTTATAATATTGTTGTAGATAATCCATTTTTTGTCCCCAGTCATCAAACGTTTCAAAAAAGCGATTCCGCGTTGTTCCATCTCGAGACAGAAACGATTCGCAGATCTCGATTTGGTTCATTAAATTTAATTGTTTCACTCAATTTGTGGGATTCCCAAATATTTCTCTTTTTTCATATATCCCCCCGTGTAAAAAGATTTTTCATATAAAAACATATAAATACATATGAAAATATATAATTATATATCTTAATTGATGCTTATATCGTCGACTGACACACATATAGGTAATACAGAACTGTTAGTCTATTGTTTCTGGCGCAGAAGTGCGTAAAAGTATAATTATAAGCATAAATAAAATTATAGACATAATGCATAGAATAACTTATTTAAAATAAAAAGAAACGAAGATTCAAAGCATTTCCATATTGACTGTGATTGTGTATACACATTAATTAATATTCTGGACTGATTTTTACATTTTTATAATTTTTAAATTCTATCTTTTGACTGCAACTTTCATTTGTTTTTTATATTTATTTTATATTTATTTATCAATGTTCTGCGATTCCACGTTACGTTTTTATTTTTATTCTCTCTGCCACGTTTGATGTATTGCCTTTCTATACACTTAATATTCTGGACTGGTTGTTATATTTCTACAATTTTTAAATTCTGACTATCTTTTGACTGCAACTTTCACTTATTTTTTATATTTATTTTATATTTATTTACCAATGTTCTGTGATTCCACGTTACGTTTTGACCTCTATTCTCTCTACCGTACGTTTGATGTATTGCCTTTCTAAGATCATTCGATGGCTGATTTTCCGAAAATGTCCCACCACCGATTTCAATGAAACTTTTAAGATAACTCAAATCAGAGACTAAACATTCAACTGCTGTTATGATGATATAATATTTATTAAAACGATTGAATTTTACACGTTCCAAGTATCGCGTTCGACCTTCATTAGCTCCTTTTTTTCTTCATTATTTTATATAATTTTATACAATATAAATATAATTTAGAAGAAATATATCTACAATAACAAATTGAAAAAAAAATTGATTTAAATGCTAAAATATTGCACTCTAGGCGGTTTAGTATCTATTTGCTCCACGGAGGCGGAGTATCAACATTAATTAATTAACATAGGAATATCGCTATAAGTACCTACACTACATCTAATTAGCAGGAAAAAAAGGGAAAGTGTTCACGATGTGACATATATAATCTTATATAATCTTTAAGCAAAATATAAGCGTTATCTATATAAATTTAACATATACTAAAATATAAACACACACACACGCACAAGGAGATGCTAGATTCTTGATGCCGAACGCGTTCGGAAACGATGACACTTATGTCGATCATTTCGAAGACTTCCTTGGATGAGGATTGTTGGAGAAGACAAGTCACCATCGATTATCCTACTCGAAACAGTATTTACAACTCAATAAACAAAAATGGATTAAAATAAAATGGATTAAAATGAAAAGAATCCATTTCGCAAATGTGTACTTCTGAAAATTCATTTCAGTGTCCAATGCCTTTGTATTTATTTATATAAATTACATTTTTTTATGTCTTTCATTTCAAAAATGAGTTGATTAAAAAATTGATCGTAAATACTGATTAATTAAAACTATTAAAAGTTCTGGGTAGCAAATGCAGATTTTTTTTCAATCCAATCGAATTTAAAAAAACTTTTTCCGTAAAAATGGACCATGAATGTTACTCAAAATTGTGACAGAAAATGCCTTATTGCTGCAATCTATTTAAATTAATTCAAAGCAAAGTTTTTATTTATGAAAATAGACCACGAATGCTACTCATTCAAAATTGTGAATAGGAAACATTATTCGCATTTTATGGAATAGGAATGCATTCATTTCCAAGAAATCAAATTTATTTCAATCCATTTTCGTTTACTGCAATGAAAAGCTGTAAGATATGCTGCTATGTTTTATGCCTTTGATATTTTTTCTACGATCTCGTATTTCATTCTGATAATTTCTAATTTCTTTCCAATGACAGACTCTAAGTTGAATGCGTTTTATTACTCAATAAATGGGAAAGGATTAAAATGGATTAAAATTTTTTAATTTTTTGATTGGCCTCCGTGGAAAAATAAATTCATTTCTATTTTGTCATAATACGAATATAATATAATATTAATATAATATAATATTTTTTGGATTTAGATGAATTGAAGTAATGCATTTCTTAGTGACAATTTTTAATTGAATAACATTCATCATCCATTTTCACGGAAAAACTTTTTTTGAATTTAATTAAATTTAAAAAAAATTGCATTTTTCCTATCTAAAATTTTGAATTAATCAGTATTCACAATTTACTTTTTAAAGCAGAATGTTTTTTTATTGAATGGCATTGAATGGCTTAGAATGTGCTTCATGCAATTTTTATAAATAAATAAATACAAGAACTTTGATCATTAAAATGGATTTAGATTTTTAGAAGTATGCA